TAAAAGATAAGTAATCTAAAACGTCTTAGTAAAATAGTAATTCTTATTATCTAATAACTTTTCCTTTATTTTAACTAATTAATTCTCTTATATAAGATCTTTATTATTAATAAAGAAGAGAGAATTTGATAGCTTAATAGACTTCTCTTTTCTATAGATAAGAAGTAAAACTTAGATAAACTCTATTAAGATTAACGCTTATATCTTAGAAGTGATTTATAGATCTCTAAGTATATCTAATTATATTACTATTAGCTATTATTAAAGCTTCTTATTCTATTCTTATAGCTTCTCGATTTTAATATTAACTTACTTTAAGCGTTATTAAATCTTATTCTATTAATCTACTATCTTATTCTTCTTAATCTTAAAATTAATATATTATTTAGTTATATCTTAAAATTAATTTTATTAATAATAAAGATCGTAAAGTATAATAAGAAATTAATTAGGCTTCTTATCGATTTAATTATATAGTTAATCGATATTAATAATCTATTATAGATTTATAATAATCGCGATATTCTTTATTATATCGTTAGATAATAAGAATTATTATTAATTAAATATCTAAGTAAAAAGATTATTAACTCGATTTATCTTACTTAATTATATATTAAAAATAATAATTTTAAAATAAAGATAAGAGAGTTACGTTATTTCTCTTAATTCTTTAATATTATAAATATTAAGCGAAAAAAAAAAGAAAAACTTCTTATAATATCCTTTATAAGACTTTACTATAAATTCGAAAAATAATATTATATTTTATAAAGACTTTTTTCTCTAATTTATAGATTATTTAGACTATTATAAAAATCATAGATAATCTAAATATCGTTTTTTTAAATACTTTTACTTCGCTTAGAGAATTAATTATATAATTATTAAGTTAAATAATAATTTCTTTAAATTTACTAGTCGTATAAATAAACTAATTTAATAATTACTTTATCCCTCTAACTAATTATAAGACTATTACGCTATCTCGATAGATATTCTTTATAATATATTATCTATATAATAGATTTACTTAAAAATATAATAACTTAACTTAATATCTTATTAAAGCCTCTATTAATAGATTTCTTAAATTTATTTACTAATTCGAATATAGTAAGTAAGATAATCTAGTTATAGTATTAGAATTAATATAGATATAATATTAATATAGATATATTAAATAAGATAACTAGATATTAGATAGCTATATAGATAGAAGATATTAAGTAATAGTAGATAACTTTATTAAGACACGCTAGACCCTAATAGGTTATAGGGCTAAATAATATATTAAGAAAGATATAGAGTACGATCGTAATAGAGCTATAGATATTAAAGTATCGCTATAATAACGTAAGTATTATAAGTAAGTACTATAAGTACTATAAGCAAGTACTATAAGCAAGTATTATAAGTAAGTACTATAAGTAAGTAAATAAGTATTATAAATAAGTAAGTAAGTATTATAAGTAAGTAAGTAAGTATTATAAATAACTAAATATATAAATAGTATAATTTCTTTATAATTATCTAGTATACTCGTCTCTTAATTAATTAAGGCGTCGTAAAGATAATAAATACTTTAAATATTACTCTTTCGAGTGTCTTAAAGTTCGCTATAAAATTAGTTATATAATTATAGAGTAATTTAATAATATATATTTTTATTATATAGAGAAGAAGAAGTTCTTATATCGACGATGGTGATAGTAATATTATACTTTTTAGATTCGCTATAATACTTCTTTTAAGTATATTATCGAAGCGTTAAGAGACTTTAATTTAAAATAAAATTATTATTAAATAAGAAAGTAATAATTAAAGAGATATTTTACTCTAAAATAATAGAAATAATTATTCTAATTTTAATATTTTATAATTTTTATAAGATAGAAAATATTAAAATAATTTAATTTAATTAATTAAGATTTTTTAAATCGCTTCTAAATCGTAGCTATTAAACTTTAAATTAATAATAAATAGTTATTAATAGTTTTCTTTATAGGATATTAAATAGTTAATATCGATTAAGATTATTAATAGCGATAGCGAGATTAATTAATAACGCGATACTATCTCGAAAGACCTTTATAAATAGAATTATAAAGAAAGTATATTCGATAAGTTCTATATAAAGTAATTATTAAATAATAAGAGTTTAAGTAATTAATTTTTAAATATTAAAAAGTAAGATATAGATATAATTTCTGGATTTCGAATAAATTTAATTCGTTTAAAAATACGTTATTCGAAATTCTCTAGAGTTATCTATTAATTTATTAAAGAAATAAAGATCTTATTTATTATAAAAGTAATATACTCTAATAAATCTCTTTTAATATATATCTAATAATATATTAGTAATATCGAAATTATTAACTTATTATAAAGCTTTTAATTATAAATAAAAGAGAAATAGAAGATCTCTTTAGAAGAGAATTAAGCGAGATAGAAAATTAGACTATTAAGGGCTATATATATATACTTTAAAAATTATAATATCGCCTTTATATATTAATATATTAATTATATAATTAGTCTATATTAATAAATTAATCTAAAATTAAATTAATAATATAGAGTTATATTTATAAGTCTTTCTAGATAATAGCTTAGTTTACTTCTTAGATAATTATTTATAAATAATAAAGATCGTTCGCTTATAACTATTCTTCGTGCTAATCTTCTATTACTTATTTCTTTACTCTTTTAAAACGCTCTTTTCTTTCTTATATATTTCTTATTAATTAATTTAAATAATAACGATCTTAAGAGAAGAAAGACTATCGTCTATAGTAAGACTCTAAATTTATTAGATTTAATATAAGAATTCTTAAGAAATAGAATAAGTTACTTATAAAATCGAAATTATCGCTTTATAATACATTCTATATACTCTTATTCTTACTCTTATTTATACTCTTATTAAAAATATTTTTTAATTTCGCTTACTCTTTTTCTTCTTCTTTTTATTTAATAAAGTCTTCTTCTTCTTTAATAAAGCCGTCACTATAAAAAATCTCCTCCAAAATATATTTAAAATTATTTTTATTATTATTTAAGATTATAATAATTTTATACTTATTAAATTTATCTAGCTTAAGTTATAGATTTAATAATATATAAAATAATTAATATTAAGACTTTATTTTAGAATTAGAATTAATCTTATTTTCTTCTTTAGTCTTCTATTCTTCTTACTTAAATTTCATCTTAATTCTAATAAATTTTCTCTCTTTTTTAATTTTTAATTAATTTTTATAAAAAGATATAAATTTTAATTCTCTAGATTTTATATTATCTTCTAATTCTTTCTTAAATAATAATATATAAATAATATCTAGAATTAAGAAAGCTTATACTACGTTATCTCTTTTAAAGTCTTTAATAATTAGATTATTTTAGATATTAATTATATCGTTAAATATAAGAGTAAATATAGAGAGAGTTTTAGCTTTAAATTTATCTATAAAAAGAATTATTAAACTCTAGATAATTTATTTATTAATATATTAAATTTTATTAATAAGATCTAACTACCTTTTTTCGCTTATAAGAAATTTATCGATAAAGTCTTATAGCTTATAACTCTTTTAAAATACTCGTTATTTTACTGCGATATTAATTATCTCTATTATAGATATTAGTATATATTAATTAAAGAGAATAATTAACTTATCGATCTAAAAGGACCTTACTTTCGAATACTCTTTTATATTAAATATAAGAGAAGCTTATTCGTCGTATTAATATATATATATATCTATTATAAAATAATATATAGGCTTATATATATTATTAAGCCCTAGATTAATAAAATAAAATCTAATATTAAATCGAGATAGCGCTATTATTATTAGAAAATAAAGGCGTATAGCGAAGATACTAGCGCTAATATAAGAAAGAAATCTATCTACTTTTTAAGTTTTAAGAATAAATCGCTAGCGAAAGTATTTATTAATAAAGACTTTAATCTCGCTCTTATTATATAGATTTAGCTTATATCTAATAAAAATAATTCTTTAAATAATTATTATAGATATAATTCTCTAAAATTATAAGATAGAAGATCTATTCGTTAAATTAATATTAGACTAATTTAATAAAACTCTTTTTTATAAAGTAAATCGAGTATTTAAAGCTTAAAATATATTAATAATTAATTAAAAGAGGGTATAAATAATAAGTATTAAGCTATTTAAGAATTTATTTATTTATTTTAATAAATAATTATATTTACTATAAGCGATACTTAAAGATAGATAATTAATATTAATATTAAAAATCTTATACTATTATTAAGGCGCTTTATTTATATTAATTATATAAAATATCTAATAAGAGATAAATAAAAAAGAAGATCTCGAAATTATAAAAAGAGCTTTGTTAGAATATCAGGTATGTGATGTGTAGAACGGACGGATTGATTCTCCAAAACCTCTCCGGGGCCAGGTCCTAAATACAGTACAAAATCAGGTGGCTGGAAAACATGGTGGCTGGGATACGCGGAGGCCAAAAACATGGTGGCTGGGATGCGCGGGGGCCACATTTCAACACTCCCCTGCAGCCACGCTCCCAGTCCACCCAACAAGAAATGAAGCTATACACAACTCCCAACAACAGGCCATTCCAGCCTCAACAACAACAGGCCATTCCAGCCGTAACAATAACAAGCCTCAACAAACAACAGGCCATTCCAGCCTCAACAACAACACCGTAACAATAACAGGCCATTCCAGCCTCAACAACAACAGGCCATTCCAGCCGTAACAACAATAGGCCATTCCAGCCGTAATAATAGGCCATTCCAGCCTTTCAACAACAAACAGGCCATTCCAGCCCAGGCCATTCCAGCCTTTCAACAACAAACAGGCCATTCCAGCCCAGGCCATTCCAGCCCAGGCCATTCCAGCCTTTCAACAACAAACAGGCCATTCCAGCCTTTCAACAACAAACAGGCCATTCCAGCCTTTCAACAAAAACAGGCCATTCCAGCCTTAGAACGAATAGGCTATCGCAGCCTGAGCCTCCCCTAACTCGGTACGCTTCCGCTTGACACCAACCTGCGGTTGATACCATTCCGGGGCCAAATCAGGACGTTCAGTCCAACACACCGGTCCATGTAGCCTCCCACACGTCTTATATGGGGGCTTATCAGCCTTTCCTCTAACAGCCGCAGCCGCAAATATAGCTCTCTCCTCTTCCTCCGGAAATTTTAGTCTTTCTCCCTTCCTCTCTTCCTCCAGAAGCATAGTACAGGCCTTTTCTGCAGTCATATCCGGTGTAACGTCCCAAATCTTGGTCAAGTATTGGAGATGTCCGGGGAGCGATATGAAGAGACAAAGAATGGTTTGTTTATCGGGGATAAGAATGACGTTTGTAGCGGCAATTCGTTCTTCGAGTAACTTGATATGGGTAAGGTATTCGGATATCGTTTCGAAGCTGGTGTACTTCAAAGTGTAGAATTCTTTCGTGAGTCGCATAAATTCTTCGTTACCCGTGGGTCGATAGAGTGTGATTAATCGGGATAGCATTCGAAAGCCACAGTTAAACTCGTCAATGATAAGCCGTTGCTTAACAGAGCCGCTGACGATAGGTGTTATAACGTCGGCAGCCTCTATAGAGGATTCTTTCCACTTGACTAGGGCTGCCACGGTTAGTGACTCGGGGGGGGTCTCTTGAGTATACTTCCATAGCTTCTGTTTACGTAGCAGGGCACGTATATCCATAAGCCATTCGGAATAGTTACCCTCATGAAGTTGGCGAATAGGTGACTTGAATGATAGGTCGAGAATAGCGCGTTGAGACATAGTGGTAGCGAGGTATGGTAGTAGGACAAGGTAGCAGCGAGGTATGGTAGCAGCGTCAGAACCGGGCTCATAACCTGTTAGAATATCAGGTATGTGATGTGTAGAACGGACGGATTGATTCTCCAAAACCTCTCCGGGGCCAGGTCCTAAATACAGTACAAAATCAGGTGGCTGGAAAACATGGTGGCTGGGATGCGCGGAGGCCAAAAACATGGTGGCTGGGATGCGCGGGGGCCACATTTCAACAAGCTTTAAGCCTTTAAAAGCTTTCTAAATAAATTCGTCTTAAATAATAAACTTATAAATACTTTATAAATATAAGATTTAAGTATTATAATAAAAAGTCTATATCTTCTTAATAGATAAATTTAATAATTAAAATAAAGTTTAAAAGATATATTTAGAAGCTAATACGTTAATTAATATAAAGATTAATATAAATATAATAAAGCTAGCAAAAATAAGTAAAGCTAGATCTTAATTAAAAATAAAATAATCTTTAATTTATTTTATAAGCGCTAAGTAATTTTAGAGAAGATTATAAGTCTTATAATAATATTAAATGAATTTAGAAGAATAATAAAGACTTTAAATAGCTCGGATTTATTCTCGCTAGACGTCTTAATAATATAACTATTAAATTAATATAGCTATTAATATAGTAATTATAAATAAAAATCCTTTTCTCTATTAGCTCTATTACTATTAAAAATACGCCTATTATATTTAAATATTCATTATAAAATATAATTTAACTAATATTCGAATATAGCTATTATCGAGATTATTCTTTTATCTATTTATATTTTATTAAGCCGCCTTTTTTTTATTATATTTTTTTTTAATTAATTATTAGCTTTCTTCTCTTTTATTATAAATTAAACTTCTAAATACTAAATAATTATTTATAACTATTCTTTCTTTTATAATTATAATATATTTATTATATAATATTATAGACTTATTTTAATTATTAAAGAAATAGATCGATTGCTAAGAACTAGCTTTTATCTTTATAAAAATTAAATATATTTAAAATCTTAGCTTATTTATTTAATTATAATCTTTTTTAAATTATAATAAAGCTCTTTAAGGCGATCTTAACGTTATTTAAATTATAAGAATTAATTATAATAAAAAGAAGTTATAATTAAATAAGTATCTTTAGAGATATTAAATATTATTTAAGCTTCGAAGTAATAATATCTAAATAAATTAATAATTAATTAAAATTCGATATTTATATTTAATTATTACTCTTTTTCTATAAAAGAAAATTTATAATTAAACTTTAATATATATTCTATTATATATACGCTTTATATCTAGATATTTTATTATTATAATAGAATATTATAGATATAAAAAGAAATTAATAATATCTCGATCTTGAAAGATTATAAAATCAATATATTAATTAGAAATAATTATTATAAAAGCTATATTTACTTAAATTCCTTTTTTTTTTTTTCTAAAATAGAATTATTAGATATTATCTATAAGTCTATATAATTTTAAAAAATATTTATTAAAAAATATAATATCTAGAATAATACGTAATATTTAATATCTAGAATTAAGATTAGAGTTATAAATTAATATTACTTAGCGTCTTAATATTAAGATTATTATAATTTTTTAATTTCTTTATTATATTATATTAAAAAAAGATTTATAAATAATTTAAAATATACTCTAAAGATTAGTTAAATTACTTTTATATAATATTTAATTAATATAAAGATAATATAATTAATAATAATAATCTATAAGCTAATAGCGAGTACTCTCGCTATTAAAAAATTTAATATTAATATATTAAGACTACGCTTATAATACTACTCGTCTCTCTAAAATATCGATTTTCTTAACGATATAAATCGATATAAGTTCTTCTTTCTATTAATAATATTAAGATCGCTATAAATATATATCTATAAAAAATTTAATAAAACTCTAAGACTTTTAATAGCTTTAAGAATATCTATCTTTAATAACGATAGCGATAATTATACGCTTCTCGATATATCTAATAAATATCTTATCGATAGTATATCGTTATAATACTCTAGAGTTTTAATTTTAAAGAAAATATATAAAGAAGTAATTAAATAATAGTTAAATAAGTATTTTACTATAAAATAATTATTAAATATTATATTTTTAGATAGAGAAAATAAGTTAAAATAAAGACTTCTAATTAATTAGATATTGTCGGATTACTCTTAAATCGTATACGCTAAAACTTAAATTAATATTAAATAACTTTCTTAATAAAATATTAAATTTATAAAATTATATTAAGATCTTAAATAATAATAGCGAGGCTTAAGATGATGTAATATAGTCTCGAAAGTAGTTATCGAGTGTATAAGTAAAGGCTATATATTCGATAAACTCTATAAAATAATATTATTAAGTATTAAGTCGCTAAGTAATTAAGTTATAAATATAAAAAGATAAAGTCTTATTATATATTTAAAAGACTTTAAATAAATTTAATTCGTTTAAAAATGTAAAATTTAAGATTTATTATATTATATACTAGTCTAATTATCTTAGCTAAATATATATAATTTAATAAATACTCGCGTTAAATAATATATATATTTATCGATTTTATTTCTTTATCGTATTTTCGCTATTAATATAAGAAGATAAATATATTAATTAATAACCTTCGACTTTATTATTAGATATATTCTTATTTATTATATCGACATTATGAGATAAAAATTTAATATTAAAATATCTTATTAATTTAGCTATCTTCTTCTCTTTCTACTTTATAATCTCTTATACTTAAATATCTATTATATTCTAATATATAACTTAATAATAAGTATTTTAAGATCTTAATAAAATAGTAAAAGTAAGATTAAAGTTTTCGATTTTAAATATATACTAATAAATCTACTCGCGTAGAGTATTATAGATTATATTATATTATATTAAAAGCTTTTATTCTTATTAATATTTAACGTATTTAGAGTATAAGAATTATAACTTATATTAATAATCTTCTAATTATAAAACTCTATTATAACTAATATTAAATATTTATCGAGATTATAGAATAATTACTTTAATATATATATATATATATATTAATTAAACTATCTTCCTTTCTCTTTAATCTTAAATACTTTTAAATTAATATATAGATTCTATAATTAATTAATTATAATATAATTATCTTTCTATTTATAAATCTTATAATTATTTTAAATATCTCGTTACTTAAATATCTCTTTATAAATAATAGATATATAAATAACTAATAGCGCGATTTTAGAAGTCTTATTATTTTTATTAAAAGAGTTATTAATATTTATTTTATTAAAAAATTTAATCTAATAATTAATTATTCTATCGTAGAGCTATATTTATTATAATTTAATTTATTAATTAATAATACTCTTATTATATATTTAATAGTCTTAAAATAAAGATATTTTATCTTTTAAATCTAATATTATATATAGATATTAATAAATATTAATTATAATTATAATCTTAATTTCTTAATTTAAATATATAAACTTTAATATTATTTTAATTATCTTAATAATATAAAGATACTATATATTAATACTAATAGCGATATAAGCTAAGATCTTAATATAGATCTAAATAATAAAATATAAATAGATATTAATATAGGCGTAGATCTAAATATTATAATCGTTAAACTTTAAATAATTATTAATGAATTAGACGAAATTAAGTCTTAATAACCTTTATTTTCTTTAATAGCGATTCGCCTACTTATCTTATTAGATAACTCTCTTAAAATCTATTTCCTTTAAAGCTATCGCGATATAATTTCTACTAATAAAATCTTTTTAATTCTAATATATATATATATATATTAATTTAATATCGAAGTTTATAGTTATCGAGTTTTCTATAATAACTTTAAACTTCTCTTATAACTCTTAATTCTAAATCGCTAAATTATTTAGCTTATATTTATACTTTATATTATAAATAATTTAAAAATATTTAAACTAATACTTTATAATATTAAATTCTACTTTATATAAATTACGTAGAATCTTTATATCTAATATTATTTCTTTATAGAAGAGAGCTATAAAAAACTCGCTATTAGTTATTTTAAATATATTATTATATAGTTAGAAATTCTCTTATTTTATATTATATTTTATAAGATTATATTTAAGAGTAGAAAGAAAGTAGATAGTATATAAATCGCTCTACTTATTAATTTAGATAAATATCTAAAATTTAGAAAGTCTTATATTTTATATCTATATAATCTTATATTTAAAAAGATTTAAGTCGATAAAGATAGATATAATAATTTTAAGACTTCTTTTAATAATAGAATATTATTTAATTAATTATATCTAAGCGTTATAGAGTTATCGTATATATTTTAATAAATTAATATATTATTTAAGCGATAGCTATAAAAATGGTTTTGCGATTTTACGATTTTCAAAAATTCGAAATTGCGGGGTTGACCCTCTGGTCGAAATGGGTTGTCCTACCAACGCCGCATGGGGGCCGCATGGCCCGAGAGACGCCTCTCCGGCACTTAGCTGTTTCACCAGTCCGCAAATAAACGAAGATCAACGATCTCCCCTATCACTCTCATCTCTAGGCAGTCTCATACCCATTAGGCTCATCATGTTGCCACCAGGTCCAGACACACCTCCTTGGCTTTTGAAACTCTCCAGCAGGTTTTTGGCGAGATTGAAATCGATTTCCGCATCTCCATCCTCTGAAGCGTCTTCCGCGTCCGCTAGTGGTTTCGATTGTTCGCTGCTCGGGCCCTTTACAATTGCGTTGCGTTGCGACTCTGGTTTTTCAGTCCCCTGCTTGAGGTTTAGATTCAGGGCTCCAGCTTCTCGAAGTTCGTTTTCGATATCCTGCATGGCTTGATGGACCCCCTTTTCGTCCTCTTCGCCGGATGAGATATCCTTGATCTTCTCGTCTTCTTCAAGGCCGACCCTGGGGGTAGCAACGGAGCC